CTGAAACCTGACCAGAAGAGTAGACTTGGGAGCACTTGTTGGTCTGCCCCAAGGAAGCATGAGGGAGGCTGCTGCAGCCAAGAGGTATTTCGGAGATCTATTTCTTTCCCATCCACCCACCCTTTTGCTTTTGGGGGTGTCAGTGGTAGGGCGAGGACGGATCGCCAGCAGTGGTAAATGAGGAAGGTGTGGTCGTTTGCCGATACTCCTGATGGGGCGAGGGTGTTTGGGTAGATGATCCTTGCCCGCCGGGTGTGTCAGTCGCGTTAGGGATGTTGGCGGTACTCTCAGTGCGGGTGAGAGCTTCTAAGTTGCTGTGCCACGAGCGGCGAGTACACAGCAGTGACTGGATGATTGGTTACGGTCGACAGGGTCGGCCGTAGCCGTGGGCCGGCGGTCGGGAGCGGTGCAGCCTTTGTTTTGTTTTGGCGAAGCCACGTGTGACTGTTGCAAGCAACGGGTTTACCGGGCTTCGTTGCTTGCGAATGAGACGCTTTCGATTCGGGCTCAGCAACCATGGGTAGGGCAACCCGGGAACGAGTTATACTTATTTCGCGCGAAGCGCGAAAAAAATACGAAGAGGCGTATTCGAATGACGCGTCCTTTCATTGCCTTAAAATTTGACAGAAGGAATCCATGTGTGGTTATTCAGTGTCCAAGGTTGCGGGTTCAATCCCCATCAGCCTTTTTTTCCCGATTTTTCTTCACGATGGGAGGGCCATCACCACCTATTGGCGGTAAATTAGCGAGTAAACCACCGTTTACGCGAAGGAAACTGTAGTTTGTTGCTGTACACGCCTGAAAAATTGCAGTTTGCGCGAAACATGGCAGCTTTTCTCTGTCTCGCGTGTGTGCAGCTTCAGAACAACAACATGTGTTATTTTCTACAGGAAAAGAGTATTCTTCGTGCCGCCATCAGAACGTGACGTCTTCTTGAAACTATTAGTCATAAACTCTCGCCCCCTTGTCGTGTCGTGCTTCGAACCACAGATACAGAGAAAAAAAAAGGTATCAACATCATAATACATATGACTCGCCGAAACCATGACGCGTAACCGCTACTGCTGTGTCGCACGCTTCAGGTGCAAGCTACGACCACAGAATAATCGGTTCCTCCCTGCATCATATTGCTGGGCGGTTTTATACAACAAGAACACCAGGAACCCCATGCCCGTTTTACGTATAGACTATACAAGTAAAATTCAGCTTTCAGTGTATGAGCCACGGCAGACATTGCAAAGGCAGGGCGGGAACACCCTTTTCTTCCGTGCTTAAATGCATTTCAGTTCTCGCCGAAACCTGGAAAGAGGCATGTAAGAAGGAAACACAGCGAGTGGAAAATCGGATCACGGCTCAAGCTCCATGAGAGAACCCAGGTGGAACCAACTTCGCACACACCACACGGCAACACGGCACAAGGCCTAAGGACCAACACGCAAACACCCCTACGACGAAAACACCACAGGGGAAACAAGCTCAAAGTACGAACGAAACATATCTACGGACGGCGAGAGGCGCATGCTACAGGACCTGCTCGTATTCGTTGAAGACTGTGAAAATGCCGTGCACGGGGCGGGTGCGCTCTCCGTGCGCTGTTGCCCCTAGCCGAATGATCTTCGCATACTGTTTAGAGGGGGTGGCAATCGTGTATTGAATCGGGTCAAAAAATGTCGCGATTCGTCCCTATAGCTAAGAATCGTGCTGAATCAGGCTCCAGTAGTTTCAATGCAAATTTCCGATTGATTGGTGTACGATTGAATTTGGGCCTGCCGGCGTTATAGCTGCGAATACATATGGTATTTTCCAAGGATGTTAGTGTTTCAAGGACTCGGTAAAGGGGTTGCGATAAAGTAGTTGAAGCAAGTTTGGTGCATTCGTTGATGAACATGTGAGAGAATGATTCCAAGATCGCAGCCCGCACCTAGGTTTGGTATTCTCGTTGGTGACATCGACCGACGAAGTTTCTTGGTATTGTGGTCGAAAGAGAGAAGGCGTTTTTTGGAGCGCCTCGATGATCCGCACGGCGTGCTCACTCTGTCTTTCCTCTGGACGTGGCTGATTTGTGCAGGATTTGAGTCAACTACATTTACTTTCTCTTTTCTCTTCAGGCGGCGTCCCTGTGTTTGACGGTGTCCACACGACACGACAAGCCGGGCAGTGTAGTATCATTTGTGCGTTTTCTCAAGTTTTCGGGCAGTATTTTCTCAAGTCTTCTAGTGCTTTCTTCGCAACGGCGAAAGGTAGAGCCCCGTGCTTGCCCCCGTCGAATGTGCCACTACGATAGGCGTCCTCCTTCAGTCTCAAGGGCAGCAGAGTGGCGCGTTCGCCGCACAGCCGATACCCCCCCCATCGCAGGTGTCCAGTTTCATACGCCCACACATTTCAGGCCACGCGAACATCACACCACCCACGACAGATCTTTCTGCTCCCAAAGCGGAGCTCACCCTCCCAAAAATAGTACTTCGTATTAATCGAAGAATGAGTGTTGCCCATCGCGCAGTCATCCCTCGCCAAAACTGAACCAGATTTCTTGTCAGGGGAAACCAATCAAAAACATGTCTCGCCTTTGTTCTCGCCTAAACGGCCACGGGCGGAAAGCTCAGAAATGGTGCTCAGAACATAAGATGGGTCGTGTCGTGAGCATTTGCAAGGGAAAATACCCGCATGTTCTCTCTAGCTTGCATGACATTCGGGGCTTGTGTCCGCCTTCAGTGATTCGGCGACGTCTGTTCATCCCTCCATAGCAACAAACGGGGGAAATTGTTGCGTTTTCTTAGAAGATCTCAACTGTCGTTATTTGTTTCCTTTTCATTGTATGGACACTTGTCCAACCTTACAAAAAACTCGCCACGTCGATCAACCCAGCTCGCATCAAACCGTACACAGACGTTTTTCCTACCTGGGAAAAAGGACAGGGCTTCAGTGGAGGCCGGGCTACCTGCACCCACCACGTCGCCAAAACATTCCCCAGAGGGAGCTACAGAAGGTCTCACCGCAGAAAGCGAGCGTCTTCTTGCGGTTGGCACCCACCAGTTCCTCATGGGACGTTAAACACGCCCTTATCCCGGTCCCGCTTCACATCAACTCTGTTTTTTGCTGCCAATACGCCACCAACGAGCGCTACATCAGACTGTGTCCTGCCCGAGGAAAACATGATCAAGAGGACACGAACCACAGCAGCAGCAGCAAGTACAGCCACCCGCCCCCCCTCGTGGCCACTGCTATGACCTGAATGTTCTGCGTCCTTCCCCGCCGCCGCCTTAATCGCCGCCGCCTTAATGAGCCCGAATCCAACACATGGGATACCTAGTCGCAGGTTATGCCCGACATCTCTGCCTCCTCGAACCAATCGCTCCCCAAGAGGACGTCTACCGGAGAACACCCGGTGATCGAAAGCATCAGGCGTTGGTCCATGACCCGTTGTGTTTTGACAAAGAAACGACGCATAGTCTATGGAAGGACACAACACGTGACCGTACGAACAGACCAACTTTCCTTCACTACTGCAACGAGTTATCTGTTCATCCCCGCGATGAAGTTGACAAGACGCAAGCAGGGGGGGGGTAGCCCGAACCACATCATCCACACAAAATCACTCCTCCAGAATGGAAGACCGTTGTCTGCATCCAAAAAGATGGAGAAGAACCGGAGCCAGAAAAAGCAGACGTCGATGACCAGGAGACCAACAACTGGTAGGGCACGCTGCAAGAAAGAAAGCAAACTGAAGATATACCTATTTCAAGGCATGTGATCGCAGGTTGATATCATATGCTACAATCTTCACGTCTCCGCGGCGTTGGTCGAACCACCCGTCCGGACGTAACTCACTTGCACAAGCGGGAATACATGGATTCCGGAGGGCACCAACAAGACTGAGGGAAACGGAGACAAGACACCACCAAGGCGATTGATCGGCGACAGAAAATACACCATCACAACTACACCGACAGCCGAACAGGATATCGGACAGCCAGCCAAAGGGACAGGTAAGTGCTGCCTATGGAAAATATATATATATATATATAATGAGGATACACCGGTGGCGAGAATGTATGCATACACGGTGTGGGAATACACCAATGGACATTGGTACGAATACTGCAAAAAAATGTTTGAAAAAGTAGCAGTGTACCCAATGCACATGCATCTAATCCAAACAGGAGGCTTCGCTGAGGCTCGCAAAAACAATCAGCTTGGTACTCGTTGAACGTAAAGGGCCGCAACACTGACAACCAAAGCACAGACAAACATGAATGAGTTTTAATGCCACACACATCGCCAAACAAAAGGCATGCATCACCAAACACGGACGTGGCCACAAAAAGAGTAAATACGTTATCCACAAGAGAAAACGCAACATCGACCGAACGTTGACCGACCACCCACCATGTTGTTGCTGCCCGCGGGTGCAACGATCAAACCTGCAACACAACCTCACGCACAGCATAACTCGGCATGGCCTCGACCGTAACACACGGTGAACAAACTTGGCTTGGCAGCATGGGCGGCAGCCGGTGTGTGATCCCTAGATGCCGCGTTTGCCGATGGCGTAGCTTCCGTATGGCGGGGGCACGATCCGGCATCCATCCGCTCTCGCGTGTGTTTCCTTAACCCAGCCGCAAGCCAACTGCGGCAATCCCTGCTAGCAGCGCAGACGCCGTCGCGACGACAACGTTGGCCACGACGAAGGTTTTCCTGGCAGCCCCGCTTTCGTCCGTCGCAGCATCCTCGACAACCGCATCCGACACGATGCCGGTACTACTGCTAGCGCTGGTGGTGCTGGTGTTGAGGTCGAGGACCTCGGTCATGCCCTCGGTGCCAAGGCAGGTCATGTCGTAGTCCACGCACCCGTCGAACAAGCCCAGGTTGCACTTCCAGTACCTGCGAAGCAGCAGCAGCAGCGGCGGCAGTGTGGTGCCATGATTGGGGGGGATAGTGATCGGTGTCTCGCGCGATGTCAGCGGAGGGTGAACAGAAGCACCAGAACACGCTGGTTTTGTTCCCTGCCGACACGCGACAGGGAGGAATGGCACCTCTTTACGGATCGGATACACGCACCAGTGGGTGTCATCTCCCTAACGACACCTTCCTAGGTCGCAACGGTATTGATCCACCGCCAGAGAGAGAGAGAGTCAGTCATGAGAGGAACCCACCAGACCAAGCCCGAGTACCGGGGAGTCGCTTCCGCTCTACGCCTACATCGCCCCGGGTGAATCCGGTGTGCCCAACGCAAAGCAGCGTCTGTCTTTCCTCAAGTCATACAATGTAGAAATCTCCCCCGAAAATGGTCGGATTCAGAGTTCTGACGAGGCCAAGAACGAAGTCGAAAAAGAGACACGCGAAATAAATGACCACAAAATTCAAGCACAAACAGCTTTCGTTCCGACGAAGGGCCGCGAGACAAAAATATCGAACCAGCTGTGATACCAAAGCCCCTGCTTTCACAGCTTTCGTCTATCAGCTTCAACGACACATATTTTTCAAAATTCCGGCAACATTTTGCGTAGCTCACTCTATGAAGGGTTCGTTTTCGAGGCAATTTCCCTCAGAAATGAAGTTGGAGCAGCATGGCTGCTCTGCTCTTCCGTCGCACACCGTCGCAGACGCCCAGTCGGTAACATAGTTGTCCAAGCACGATTGGTACTCCAGGGGGTGGTCCACGTAGGACGTCATGCACTCCAGGCACCTGCGGCATTGGGCGTACGGGGGTCCCGCATGTACGTCCCGGAGAGGGAGAGAAATGAGGTGTTAACGCCACGGCCGAAACGAATAGCGGCTCGCTGGATTACTTTTCTCGTTTCTCCGGAGGGGCGTCGCTTAGGAGGGGGTGGCCAAAGCACTCCGGGCAACTCTACTCGGACTGACAACGCAAAGAGAGCACGTTCATTCGAACAATGACCAGGCAGGGGGCACGCAGACCATAACTATAATCCCGACTTTGCTGATTCTTACTGCACATATTATCCAGGAGTGTTTGCGAAATTAGAAAAACTGCGAAGACTTTCGCTCTACTCTGCCTGGTACCACTGCTGGTGTCATCGTAAGCGAAGACGAAGCCTCCGAAACAACAAACGCTGCTGCCGATTGCGAAATCCTGAACGGGGGAATAGGATGTGTTCTCGTCGCTGCTGGTACTCACACTTGGTCGTCGAGGCAACTGCTAGCCTCCGTGGAACACGCGTCGAGATCACTCGCCAAGGAGCCCAGGTGGGGATGCGCGCGAGAGGCACCGCCGACTCCTGCCGCGGTAGGTGCAGTTTTTTCCCCAGCGTTGTTCCGGTCACCGCCAGCAGTCTTGGTGTGAGCATTCGGGGTAACGGTGGCGGCGGCGGTGTCGGCGGCGGCCAGAGGATGCATGCCCGGTGTCGCCACAAGGAAAAGCACCTGCCGAATCTTCATGTCTACGGAGTACTACGATGCAGAGAGCGTGGGCCGAAAAGCAAAAATGGGGGGCGGGCATCGATGGCTATGCTCTTATGTTGCCCCTGACGGCATCGCAGTTGCTTGACCAAGGCCTCCACGCGACTCGAACACTCCACACTAAACAAAACAAATCGGTACAGACCAGCCAACTTACCATCGAAGAGTTTGTCCGTAGACAACTGTTTCTAAAGTGTTCGACCGCCTACGAGTATCTAGAAAAAGAAGAGGGAGGGGGCACGCAGATCCTATCCCTATCCCCAACCCTAAACCCAAAGTACGGAGTAGGCCTGTCCTCCATCGGCCGTTTTATTTTCGATTTAGATACACAAAATTTATTTCTATACTAATTTCAAGTAATTCCACCTTCTTATTCTCCGTCATGCACGCAAAACGGTCGATGGAGGACAGGCCTAGTACGGAGTGAATACTTTATCCTATATGTTCGCTGAATCAATTTTGCTGCGTAAACTGCTGTTGAAGTGTTCATACCCTCTCGTAGTCTACACACCGTACCTGTACGGAAGGTGGGCGGTTACATACAACCCACATCTCCAAGTCATACGAGCATCTATTCGGTGCTGCAGGATAGTGCTGCTGTATACGCAGCCCCCACGGGAACAACCATTTCGGGGGAAGTTTTTATGCCCGCATATGTGTATGGATTGCTGTAGCGGCCGATCTTAACGCTGATGATGCATGGCGGATGCCCGCACAAATTAGCGCCCTAGCACATCACGTCGTCAAGGGTCCAACCTCGTATGCCGTTCTAATCTAGGAATTATCTGTGGCGATGGGCGATTGAGGTTCTCTGTCTACAGAATCAAAATTCAAGACTGTGGTGTACATCCTCGTGTGTCATTTGTTTGGGGCGGCAGTCGAGTGCCTCCGTCGTATGAAATATGCATATGTTGGTTTCATTCAAAGCTATTGTTTATTTGTTGCTGGCAAACGCTTGTTTCCCATATACTGCACTCATAGTGTCAGCTGGAGTGATGAACGCACATCTGAAATGTCACGGCGTGGTCGCCTCGTCATCGTTCAGTAAAAAAATGCGCTTTCAGTTTTTTGTAAGCAGCTGTACAGCAGTGTGCCTACTGCTGTTCTGTACATAGAGATAGGGCCCGCACTAAGAACTTAGCAGTTAAGAAATTGAGACTCGCAAAAAATCAGAAGCTAACAATTTGAGCACGATGTGTGAGCTCGGTTAAGAACCCCACACTTAAACGTATAGCGGCCATTTGTAGCCCACAAGAGGATGATCGGCAAAATTAGAACCCCAGCCTCGGCCGAAACTAGAGGTTTTTTAGTGCGGGAGCCATCTGTATATCGCACCGCTCTGATTGCCATCGCGAGTCTATGCATACAAGTTCAAGTTCGTTGATACATGCATTTTTGAGTGCGAGGAATTTCAAAGGGAAGAGCGTGACGAATCCGCTTGTGCCACTTCAGGCTGTCGCCCACGTTGTACGTTACGAGTACCCTTCATGCGCTGTACGTGGCGTTGAGCGCCCTTCATTACACACTAGTGACACAGGCGCGACGTAAGATATCACACCCCCTTACACAGCTGGGTACCTGTAGTTCACCACAAGCCAATAGTCGCAAAGAGTGGTCACACGTGTGGTGTGTGGCATCTTTTGCAACCGACGAGTAGTTGTCGTCTAAAGACTGGGGTGCGTCAGACGAGCGCATCTAAATTGCCAGTCTAGGTAGACATGCAGTCCACGTCTGTGGTAGATGCGTTTCGATGTCGCACACAGAATAGTTTCGTCCAGCACCTGATAACGTTATTTTCTTACAAGCTTGGTTTCGTGTGGTGGAACATCTCTCAGCCTGAGAAGGCAAGGGTCTTCCTTCGCATACGAAGTTTGTCAGAGTCGAGATTTGAGCCATGGTCCAAGACCCCCCCTGGCGTGGTAGAAGAGAGAGGGAGCGCACGCTACTGCTGCTGTTGTATTTTGTAAGCATGCCCATTTCGCTTTGTCGGTGGAATCGTTTTTCCGGATGTTATGGCACAGAAAAACGCCCGGCGTGCAAGCCTTCCTTCAAAACAAGCCCCGAGCAAGACAGACACGGCAGACCCAATGCTCACCTGGTGAACGCGGCTCTCCTCTCTGCCCACCTGCCTGTCGTCGGCCACCCCCACCCCGTAAGCGTATCACACGCTGCAGTCCCGATGGGGATTGTTGATGATGGAGACATCAGACAGACTTTTTCTTCCCCCCTGCTGGATGGACCTGGATGGACCTGCACATGGGTGAGTTGGATCACATGATGATAAATGTGGGGACCTGCATTCCTGTGGTCGTGCTCCATGCATCGTGTCCAGCTGTAACAACGTAGTGCAGCATGCAACCGCCGTTCAACCGCCCGTTTGCTTTGGTACAGTATCATGTGGGCTGCACATGGGCACAGACGTCAACACCCTTCACCAACAATGCGGCACAGGTACTTTATCCTCCAGGAGCAATACGCCGTATCCGCCTCTCTCTGCTGCTGCTGTTGTTGTACGACCCCCCACACGCGTTTTTCAACATTCGACGTATAGTTTATGGATATCATTCCTGTGTCCATCCGGCCCGTTGCACACCAGAATGCAGATGTGATCCACACAGAAAAATCCATCTCCGCACTTGGTGGACGTGGTAGCAGGGTCGTCGTCCTCATCATTGCGATGTTGTTACGCGTCCTCGTTGTCATAAAGAGGTACACATGAAACCCCTGTCTGAGCTGGAGGTGAGAAGGAATTTGAACGCCTTCTCTGCACACTGCTCTATCGCATGTATGTAGAAAAGGTACAGCGAACTGTGCTGTTTTGTCCAGCTCAGGTCCAGCTCAGGTACACCGAAAAGCTGATGGAGCTCCTTCAAACAGTTTCGGCTGGCTGCGGCAAGTGCCATCATCATTGCACGCTAATTGGCAGGTGCCAGCTACAGCAGTTGTTTTAGAGGAGCGCATGTCCGAAGGGTTCTTTGTGGCTCAACATCCACATGCAGTAGAAAAAAGGTTGGCTTGCAGTAACTGTGGAAGGATGCTTGCTACGGTAGCAAGCAGCTGCTGTTCGATAAGTGAAGGCACAACCTTCACATGTATGTACAGCAGTTGGTGGCACGTACGCATATCAAATGTGTTTCGAAGTACTACACAGCAGCGTCATCATGTATGAAATTCTAGCACTGGAGTGGGGGAAATTGTTGTAGGTACAAGCAAGCACGACAGACAAACCTAAGTCACGGGTGATGTACAGGTAGGTGAAGTAAATGAAAAAAAAAATAGTACCAGTTAGTTCCAAGGCGGAGATGGCCCACAAAATGATGCAACAAATGAAGCAAAACCAACATGGACAGGCTCTACTCACTGGCGCACACACAGCTAGTTAGTTGTAGCCCCATCTACGTAGTGCTCCCGCCGGCCCCGTTCGTCTGTCCAGACCGGCCGCCCGTCATCTCCTGCTTCGGGTGGCAGCTCGTTACCGCGCGTTGCCGGTTAGCCTTGCCTTTCCCTCGCAAAAAATACCCATCCACACACTGGGGCACCCCCAAGTCTCATTTCTTCTACTCCAACCCGGTGGCCCGTTCTCAAGCACGAAATTTTGTTCAAATCAAGTTGATCGATAATGATGTTGCGTACATCCATGCTGACTGACATCCATCCCAACACAATAATCGCTTGAAAGAACGTTTAGGGAGTGCCTGAAGCTGTCTCCCCGAAGTCAGGTGTCTCGATCTCCTCTCTAGCGCTAGCACTACTGGTGTTGCTACGAGACCGAGCCGCATGCTGTGCGCCTGGCTCTCAAAATTATTCAGCTTCGGCAGGGCGATTCACTGCACGGGCAAGCCGCATAGGCAGCTGACCGAAAATGGTGTCAAAAAATAGCTACTATATTTTTTAGCTCCCCTCCCGTAAAGGCACCGATCAACACCTGCCGGCTTCTGCCTTCACTACCACGCAAAAAGATGCCCGTTGGTACACACCGCGCTGCTTAGATAAACGTATGTGGAAATATAGTCGCGGAGGGCAAGCCCCCCCCGCCCCCCGTGCACGCACAAAGACAGAGCACACCGTAACATAGCAAGGCAGGACATATGCATACAACACGGTTAGACCAAACCACACGCGTCGTAGCAACGTGTAATGGTGAGCCCAGTCCCGTGCTGCCTGATTCTCACCAACACAACACACTGATCCTACCCTAAGACGAACTTTTTTCCTGCAGGATGAGCGACATACTCCTCCTACTTCCTTCTCTCGGTCCGAAAGAAGAACGGCCTCCACAAGCCACAAAGGAAATCTCCGGATCATGACTTCGACCACTCCATCCAACGATATCCACACGCCACAACCCTCCCAGAACAAAAACATGAAACACGAACCGCACCAGTAAACTTCCCTCAGCCCTGAAGGAGTACACGCAGTAAAGCAAGAATACCAATGATGTATGGAATGTAAATGTATAGTATGTAGTACAAACACGTGCATGCCGTGGCCTCGTCCGCCCGCCTGGATCCCCTGACGACATATCGGCGGGACTGCGACCAGTGCATGGGAGCACCGCCCCTTTGTCATGTGCACGATAGCCTTCGACGGGACCTCTAACATCGAAGTGATGCATATACACCTCCGAATTCAACACCAACATAATAGTGGTCCGTCAACGAGCCAAAAAAAAAAGGCCGCCACACACACCGACTTACACACACGACGCCTGATAAACCCAAGATGAACGCCCCCAAAGCAGAAAGCGACCTGACGTAGGTTGGGAAAACAGAGCCCCGTTTCCACAAAAAAAAAAAAAACGTCTGGCGTTCTGTACATATATAAAAATATGTAAAATATCCACACCAGTCACAAGGAGGGGTTCTGCTTCAACCAACACAGCACGCATAAAAAGTAAGGAACGCTAGTTTGCGCGGGGTGGTGAATTCCGAGCGCAAGGCAAAACATGTTCATAAAAGCGCACAGCACAGCGAAGTACCCGTAGCCCTCCCGCCTTCCACGCCCCATCCACAAAATCGACAGCCTTGTAACCTGGACTCGAGCGGTGCGAAGTTTCCGCAAAGGGGACGTGCTTGGCACGCGCTTGCCAGGGGGGGG